CAAACACCAGAGCCCTGGCTGGTGTGGCTCAGCTGACTGGAGCACTGTCCGTAAACTGAAAGGTTGCAGGTTTGATTCTCAGTCAGGGCAAAACCTAGGCTGCGGGTTGAATCCCTGATTGGGGAGCCTACAAGAGACAACAAGTAGATGGATGGATGGATGGATGGATGGATGGATGGATGGATGGATGGATGGATGGATGGATGTCTGTCTCTCTCTCTCTCTCAAAGCAATGGAAAAATGTCCTCGGGTGAGGACTGAAAAACACACAAACTAGAGCCAAACAGATCTATATAAAGTCCCAGCTCTGCAAGCATGTGTTTTCATCTTTAAGGCTAAGGTCTTCTCATTTATAAAATATCTAGCTCACAATTTTGGCGCAATGATTAAATGAGACAGCACATGTAATACACAATGCCTACTCCATCACTAGCATTTGACAGTTATATTTTCTTTCTGTGACTACAAACCCCTATTTCCCTAAAATTAGAAACCAAATGATTTTTTAAGTTTTTTAGGGTTTTATTAGGTGAAACCAAATAAACTGTGGTTTCATTTTCAACAATTTTAAATGGAAAGACATGAAGTTATTGGTTGAAACAAGGCAGTAAGCTTCCTCAGATACTGCTTAATGACACTGTGGTGTTTATATACAACTATGCACAATCTTAGGGAAGAAAAAAATTTTGCTCCCCAGGAACCTAAGTGCAAATATATGTTTGGCTTTATTTTAATAAATCTTCATTTCTGTTTGGTCTTAGCAGGGACTTGCAATATCCCTGAATCAAAATCTGCCTAATTAAAAAAAAAAATCTATATCCAACTTCTTGAAGTATCTAAAGAATTACCAGTGATTCTCTTTCTAGATACAAAGACCACTGCCTAATTTTTCTTTTGTTAGATCACACATTACCTTTGCTACAAATATATACTCATATATATTTGAAGGAAAATTACTTTTTGCTACTACTTTACATTTTAAAGTGCACCAAGTATTTACCTGAACTTTTGGGGCTATTACACACAGGGCAAGTACAAACCTAGCACAGGGAATATGAAAAGCAAATTTTACTCCTCTAGCAACTGAAGGCTGACAGTTCTAATCATATTACTTTACATCAGATAATCTCCACCTCCAATCAGAAGAATTCCCTTTACTGTTTCTAAAATAACAAAATCCCACATAGTAAGTTTATGTGACCAAAAAAAGTCAATCATTTCAGAGAGAGAGAGAGAGAGAGAATCAGAGGAAAGTCTGAAATATACAAATAGTATTTATTAGAAATTTATTTTCTTAAGTTTTGGATGTGAAGGAAACAGGAGACTGGAAACTAACATAGGCGTCTACCTTCTTTCACGCCTGTCTCCTCTGTAAACTATTACCCTTTTTTCCTTCTCTTCCGCTGCCAGCATTTCAAAATACATCCCAGCTGCTCCCAGCCCAACCTGTGATCTGATTTCTAATTCTCTGGTCCCAGAAAAATTTGCTGTGCTTATATTCACCTAACTGCCAAATCCTATCGATCCATTCTCAGAGCTCATCCTACCCTAAATTGGGCACCACTGACAAGTCCCTCCTGCTCAGCACTCTACCGCTGTTAGCATCTCTGTTAGCATCTCTGTTACGTCCCCTCTCCTGTTCTCCTACCTCTTTAACCCCTTTACTGTATAATATGCCTAAGGGCTCCCTCAGGTCTCTCCTCTTCCTATATTCACCTATTAACCATGAGTTAAGTTTTGCATTTCTGTGTATACATTTCATTCTCTTCAGCAGGGTCCAGAATTCTCAAATGATTCTCAATTGGGGACCCTAACTCCCCCAAAACTGTAAAAAGCATTTGTTCATACATTCTTTCTGAATGACCTCCTAACTTCCAATGCCAATTACTCAACGACCAAATCTATAAATTCCCAACCACCTCTGGTCCAGATACCTATCAGACATAGCCTTGTAAATATCCAACAGACATGTCAAACTTAAAATCAAAATCAAACTACTCCCCTTTCCTTGCCAAATCTGCTCTTGGTACACTCTTTCCCAAGTGAAATCATACAAATAGTTCCCTAAGCTAAAGGCCTTCTGAATCGTATCAACCCCTTCCTAGTCCATCAGCTCACTGCTTATCCGCCCAATTCTGGTACCCTTCTTATTTATCCTATGCTTTTCTAGCTCTTATGCTGATGGTCTTGACCTCTCAAAAGACTTAAGTGAATTCTATGACCACAGTACCTTGACCCCTTCCATCTAGCCTCCACATTTTTATTGTCTCCTAAAAAAAGTGGGTCACAAGCACAATTTCCCCATCCCTATCCATCTAAACTTTAAACAGACTGCATATGTATCTATATATATAGATATGTATCTATCTCCATCCCAACACATTAACAAAAGGCCTGAGTGTATTTACAAACTGTTTCTAACCCAATCCTGTCCCATATCCTTGCATCCTGTGTTCCACAACCTAAGCTGTATGTGACATGACTTTGCACATGCTGTTCCTTTTACCTGAAACGCGGTACCCAGCCTGACAAGCCTATTCACCCACCAAAACTCAGCTCAAAGACCTGAGACAACTCCTGCAAGCTCCCCAATCAGAAGTTAGTTGCTTTCCTTAGCCTGCCCCACTTTGTATCTTCCTCATTACTATATAACCTGATGAAGGCTTTATCGGTTCATTTGTCTTTTTCTCTACAACCATCATTAACCAACCCACTTGGGAAAGAACATAAGCTCCATAAGGGTAGCAAATCTATACATCATGCCTGACGCATGAGTGTGAGTATTTTTGGAACTGAGTTTTACCATACTGTTTTAAAATGCTGTATTCCAAGTCAGGTCTGCTATACTGCTTGTTCTGAAACTGTGAATTTGTTCCAACGTGATTGATAAAATCAGGGAATCTGCACAGAGCTCCCAATTACTTGTCTGTGAACCCAAAGAACTTGGCTGTGGTTGCACACAAAACAGAGACCTCAAACACCTACAAACTATATCAGTTCACTGTGTTTTTGTGCATGTATGTGTTATGAGACATGCTTACCCATATCTGTTGATACAACATTCCATCTGAAGTCAGGTAAACTTCTACCACTTTGCAGTAACTCATAAGCAGCAACCATTCTTATGACCATTTCCACAAGCAAACCAGGTCTTTTCCAAGGGAAAGTGCCACATTTATTGCAGTATTTATATACTGTTTAACTATTTAACATGTGACACTGTGCTACCATTTTTATTAGGTTCCCTTTTTGAAAATAAGTCACTGACGAAGTTGTTGGGAGTGCTGGGCCCCAATCCCATTTTCCCTCATAAGACCTGTAGTTTTTACTGAAGTTTTGCATACCGTAATGGTATTTAGGAACCTATGTTGCTTTAAAGCAAATTTGACCATACAGAGTTCTTGGGCTTTAAGGAAGTTTTGGTATTTTAATTCCAGTAATTTACTGGAAAGAAAAATCTGCCCTGCCCCACCCCCGATTTCACAAAATGTTTACAGCCCATATCCCAACAGACTATGGGCGTAATCATAACATTTAAGCTTGGTAGCTCTCCCTCCTGGTGAGCAGAGGGTTGATTTTTTTCCACCTTAAGGCAACAGCCTGCCTAAGCCTAACTCAGAAGAAAAGGTCTCAACACCTGAACCTGCATGTGTACCATTCCATGGGTGTCACTGCTTTGACTGCTTTTAACTTCTTCCAAAACATCCTGGCATTTTTATTTTAAATTCCTCTGTATCACAGAGCAACTGGATAGAAGCCTACGATAAGAGGGACCACAAGACACTACACCCAAGTTAAAAACAGATTCAGAGTCATTAACTCCATACTATCTCAAATGTGAGTTTTTATATGTAGGGCCTCCACACGATCCTCCATACTAATGCCAAAGTGACCTCTAAATCACCTTATTCCCCTAATAAAAATATTTTGGCTCCCTCCTGTGCTATAGGATAAAGATATAAACCTTACTGTTAGCTTAGCCAGTAAGGCCCTTCAAAATCTAGGTTGGACACACCTTTGCAGGTTCATCTCTAGCCTCTCTCCACACTCTAGCAACACCTGACCACTGACTGGCCTCACCCCAACGCGTGGCGCCTCTGTGCACTCACCATTCCTTCTGCTTGAAATGGCCTCCCCTCCCCAGTTTGACAAATATTTTTTCTGTGTCATTTTCTGTAAACTGCTTGTACACCTTCCACAAATTTAATCATTCATTCCTCTCCTACAGAACTTTGTACACCTACTAGGCCTATAAATTGCAAGGCAAAAAAACCTGAGTATCAGTCCTGCCTAAACTATTCCTTCCTATGTAACTTATCACGAAGATAAAAAGGTATTATTAGGGAGAGGTGAAGCCCAGAGAAGGGCAAAGTTAAGGGAGCCTCAATGAGTCCCCATCTTGGCTGCAAATATCCTCCTCCTCTGATTAAAATACCAAAATGCAGTGCATTCCATTGTACTCTAATGCACACAGGCTATGCATACAGTAAGTTTTACAGTTTAATTCATTTAGCATTTTTAAATTTCACATAGTGTTTTACTAATCACACTTTGTCATAAAATGGCTACCCTCCTAAAGTGAGTGGCAGGTTAAATAAAACAGTACATCAGTAAAAGAATTCATGGAAGCTAAGGATTTGAAAATTAAAATTGGAACATTTTTCCAGCATTAAGTTCCAATCACAAAAGTGTAAATAGTAGCATTACATATCCACAAATCCAAGTCTTCCCTCCACTAAAATATGTGCTTAGCGGAACCTACTTGGACTTTCCCAAAGTGATAAACATTGTAAGAGCAGGGCAGAGCTTCCCTACCAGCGAACCTCGCACACGGGAACGTGGCAAGTGTGCTGAACAACTCCTGGTCCCCGCCCTCCGCACAGCCCCAGACTGCAGCGCGGGGCCGCCGCGCGCCCGCCCTCTCCGCGGCCCGGCCCGGGAAAGGTTGACGCTTTAATTACGCGAAGGCCAGCATGGGCAGAGCAGGTCCTAGCACTGACCAAACGCGGATTTACAGGCCACAGGCATAGCAGTTAGTCTTCCAATGCCTTTATTTGTAGTCAGGACCAAGTTCTGTAAACACCTTCATGTCTGCGGAAAAGAAAATAGTCTGAAATTTCCCAATAATTGTCCTTTGCCACCAAATTCAAGAAACCCCAAAACACTTACAAATCAAATAGGCCCTCAAAAGACCTTTATCATCTACATTACTACTGATCTAGACACTCGAAACTGTGCAAACACTGGCTTTCAGAGCAAATCTTCTGAGTTTCGTAAGAAAATTTGTCTTTTGTCCCATCCCTGTTTTTGACCGTTTCATTAAGTGCCTTGTTCATCTACTGAGATGTAACCAGAGTCAACTACCTCAAATAACTTCTACCCATTACAATGCCCTTTGTCCTGGCCGGGTAGTTCAGTTGGTTAGAGCGCTGCCCCCACACACCAAGGTAGCAGGTTCGGTGGCCAGTCAGGGCACAAGAGGCGACCAAGGAATGTACCAATAAGTGGAACCACAAATCGACGTTTCTCTCTTTAAAGCCAGTCAATCAATCCATCTACCAAAACACTCTCTGCCCCCCGCCCCGAACGGCAACGCCAACCACAACCACCGCAGGGCTCCCGGCGCCCCCCGCCCCCGCCCCGGTCCTTCCCTCCTGGCTGCAGCGTGTTCGGGCGAGTCATTTTACCTTTCCGAGGTCTCGGCTTCCTCACCAGCAGCCGCTCAAATATTTTGTTTAAAGCAAAGTTAACTGGACTAGATCACTGGTCAAAAAATATTAAGCCATTTTTACTCTAAGTCATACATTCTAAAGACTCTAACTGCCGACAGCAATTACAAAAAAAAAAATCTTCAAAATCTTTTGACCAATGGCCTCGCGCGCTCTCACAGCCTGGAAAACTGGAACGGCAAATCCCCGTCCGGGGCCTGGGGAGAACGCGACGTGCCACGACAAGCCATTTCCCTTCTCACTTGCTCCTGTTCCCTCTCAGCCGCTCCAAAACGAGGCTCCCAGAAAAGGGGAAGCACGGAGGTTCGCACCGCAACTACTGGGACCGCCACCTGGCAAGCAGGTAACTATGGAAACTCAAAGTCAAGCAGATGATTGAAGCGACGCCAGCGCAGCGCCGGGCTGAAGCCAGGCGGGTCCAGCGAGGCGCCGTTCGCGAAGCGGCCGCCTGCCCAGCAGTTAACCAGGCGGCGACCGGGGTCGGCCCGCGGGCCCCCGGCAGGGCGGCGGCGGCGGCCCGGGGTCGGGGAGAAGCGCCTCCAGAGAAAACAAACGACTGGCGTTCAGGAAAACACAGATGTGACCCGGTTACCGGAGAAAACTGCTTTAACTAATTAGGACCCTCGACGAGGCCTTAGCAACACCACTGCATTCGGTGCTAAGCACTTCTTTTACCATGCCACCCCGCCCCCCAAAAATCGGCGTTAAACTGAATTTTAAACACTTGGGGGGAGGGGTAAACAGTGGGTTTCCCGCTTTGCGGTGACTACCGAGTCCCACACTCCGCGGCGCGCAAACCCACACAGCCACGCCTCCACGCTGACCCCCGTCCCGGCCGCGAGTCCCGGACACAGACTCGCCTCCGCCGGGTGACCCGGCGCGTCCGAGGCCCAAGGCGCCCCCCAGCCCGCCCCCGGCGCCTCCCCCTTCCCCGGCGGGCGCGGCGGGATGGCGACCCCGGCGCGTCGTGGGGCCACTCAACAGCCGCCTGCTCGGCCCGGCTGCGGGCCCGCCGCCCGCCAAGCGCAAGCCGCCCTCGCCCCGCGCGCCCCGGGGACACGGCCGAGTGGGGCCCGTGCGCGGCCAGTGCGGGAGCAGCCCGGCGGGCCTCGGGCCGGCTCGCTCACCTCTCGGGGTGCGCCGCCCGCCTCCGCCGCTGCCGCCTCCTCCCTGTGAGTGCAGCGGGGTCTGACCTGTGGAACCACCATACCAGTCCCGCCCGCTGCTGCAGCGCCGCCGCCGCTCCGCGTCGCCTCAGCCGCCGCTCTTTGTTCCCCCTCCGAGCGCCACCTCCTCAGTCGCCCGCCTCAGCCGCTCCGGCGGGCCGCCGCTACGCCCTCCCGCCCTCTCGACCGCCGGCCTCGCCCCCCTCGCTGCACCCGCCGCCGCCTTCGCCTCCGCGCCGCCGACGCCGCCGCCACCGACGCCGCCGCCTCCTCCTCCGCGCCCCCCTCGCTTTCATTGAAAGCAAACAAGCATCATGGCGGCGGCCGCCGTCCCCCAGCCAGCTAGCGCTCCCCCCGCCGCCGCCGCCCTTCCAACATCCCGGCCTCCCATTGGTCGCCGCCGCCGGGCGCGACCAGTCGGCGCCGGGGGTCGCGCCCCGCACGCCGCGTCCCCAAGCTCCGCCCTCTGTCCCCCGCGCTGGGGTAGTGAGCGGGCCCGGCGTGCTCTCGACCCGCCCTCCGCTCAGCTTCCCGCCTTCCTGGCTCCGGTCCTGCCAGTCTTTTCTCTTTCCTCCGCTTCTCAACGCTCTGTTTTTGCATCCCGCTCTCTTTTATGTGTGTTCAGCTATTCACTTTTGCCTCATCTCTTCCCTCTTTTTCCTTGGCTTTCCTCCCCTTCGTTTTGCCTGCCAATCCTGTGGAAACGCGGACCAACTCTCAGACTTTTGACCTTAGACAGTATCTTAATTTGCATTAAAGACCAGACATTCAGTTGTCGACAGTTGCTTGATTCTTCTAGCCTCAGGAATGCAGAAAAACTTACTTATTGGCCCCTGTCGGTCCATTAATAGTCATTCGGCCCCATAAATTAAGGGACAGTTTTGGCAGATCCAAGCGAGAGTGACAAGTGTCCTACTCAGGTGCGTGACTGAAGGTGCGCAGAGGAAGGGCTGGCTGATGATGGTGCGAGTCCCTCAGTGGACTCTGGCCAGGGCTGGGAGATGAATCAAGCCCCACCCTACCCCGATCAAGCTCGCAGTCTAGGGCAAGAGGAACACCCACCAGATTTGAAACCCTTTTGAGATACCTGAGGACAGGCACAGCCCAAAGGAGAAGGAGTAGCCGTCTGTCTGCTCAGCTGCATGGCAAACCAGGCTGGCCTCCTTCCTGAAATGTCAACCCTGAAGAAATGAGAGTGAACCGGTTCCAGTAATTAACAACAGCAATAAAGTGACACCGCCCCGGACTGAAGGCTGTCGGGCTAGAGTTAGTGGGAAATGAGTGGCTTTTGCCACCATGGAGGCCTTGAAGGGCAAGGAAAAGATTGAGGGACCAAAGCTCCCTGTGTTCAGTGCTTGTTTCTCCCCAGCATGGTCCTAGCATGGTCATTGCCTGCCATTTGCCAAAAAATCAACACGACAGCCCAGTCCTCCAGTGCTACAGGACACTGGGTGAGAGCAGGGCAGCACGGAAAGCCCAGCAGGGATAAGGGGCTGACCAGAGAAAGTACAGACTGACAGCTGCCTGTGGGCACCGCTCCACATGCCCCGCCCCCAGGCGATTGAGCCCTGGAGCTGTATCGCTGGTGCTGGACCTCCAGCTGGGCCTCTGCCCCCTTGGGAGTGCGGTGTCCAGGCAACCTGTGCTCCAGCCTGGAGAGGGGTTTCTTTTTGTAATTCATCTGCCCAGAAGAAGCTACTTTTTGTAATTGGAAGAGGGGCAGTTCCTCTGCATATCAGAAAACCTAGCGGCATGAAACAAGTTTACTACATCTACGATTCTGGCGCCCAGCTAGACAGTCCTGCTGGTCTTGTTTGGGGTCTCTCATGCCTCTGGTGAGATGGCGGTTGGCGGTTGGGTGTCTGTGAGACCTCTCTCTGTGCCGCATCTCATACTCCACTTTTATTTGTGGATTCTCCTTCCAGCAGGTGATCCTGTACATCTTACCTGGTAACCCAGGGCTTCATGAGGGAGGAAGTAGAAGCTTCCAAGCCTTCCAAAGAATGTCACTTCCAGAGGCTGTCAATCATAGCATCAAAGCAGAGTCCAGATTCAAGAGGAGAGGACAGGAGCAATGCAGGAGCTGCATGCACCTCAGTGTGGGGCAGGCTGATTTGGGGTCATCTGGGTAGATTGGGGGTGGCCACAAGGAGGGTACCAATGGTGGCCCTGCCTGTGCATGTCCTGTTCTTCCTAAATATCTGAAGAAAATTCCAGCAAATGACTCCTAGCTTTCCAGATCCAGATCAACATACTCCTCATGTCATGCAAGACCTCCTATTGCAAGGTATAGAACCGCAACTCAAGTAGACTTGACGCGGAAAGAGGTCAGTTATGTATTCAGATGTCACATAACTGAAAACTGTGGGCATCATAAGATGCCATGAAGAACCAATCTCACGAGACAAATACCATATCATTTCATGTGTATGTGGAATTTAAAGAATAAAATAAGCAATGGAAATAGAAACAGACTCATGGATACAGAGAACAGACTGATGGTTGACAGAAGGGAAGGTGGTGGGGAGCTGGGTGAAAAAGGTGAAGGGATCAAAAAGTACAAATTGGTAGTTATGGAATAGTCACTGAGATGTAAATGACAGCATAGGGAATACAGTCAATAATATAATAACTATGCAGGAGACCAGGTGGGTGCTTGACGTATCGGGGGACCACTCTGTAAAGTACGTAATTGTCTAACCGTTATGCTGTCCATCTGAAACTAATGCAGAATAATGTGGAATGTAACTGAAAAATAAAAAGAACTGATCTCACTCTTCCACCCTTTACTGTGCTCGTCTCCCTGCTGGCTGCTTCTCACAGGCTATGTGACCAGGCAGGGGGGATGGCCGCTGCCACGGGCAGGCTTAGATTCTACCAGCTTCTCCACTTGCATAGAGTACTTCTTCCCTGATCATCCCAGGCAGCAAAAACCCAGGGCAGCTCTCACTGGCCTGGCCAGAGCCCCGTCCCTACCTCTGCAGCGACATATGAGGTCAGCCCCACACAAACCAGATGTACTGAGAGCGGAAGATTTGAAGGTGGGCAGAAGAAGGGAAGCAGATTCCACCTCACCCCTCCTCTGCAAAAGCTTCCCTGGCACAGTGGGTCACGGTCTCCTCAGCCTCCCATCCCCTTTCCTGCCGTCTCGGCACTTAGCAGATCCTGCAGTCCTCTCCCCGGCCAGTCTGTGAGCTGCTAAAATCTGAGTCGTGTTGCCTCCATGCCGCCAACTGGGATTGCTTCTGAGTGTTCTCCACCCACAGGCTTTCCCAGCTCCTTTCTCTGTCAGGAGCACCCTGTAACCAACCTGGGATTGCTACGTAGGTGTAGGAAGAGAGTTCTTGCCCCACTTGGGTGCTAAGCTAGGACAGGATGAGGCGGTGCAGTCAGTGCACCTTCCCCACCATGTGGAGAGATGAGAGGTGGTGAAGAGAAACTGCCTTGGTGACAAAGGCTTGGTGCCAGGTGCCAAA